AGAACAGACATGCAACTATTACCGAATGGCATCATGCAGAAGAGTAAACGCTCAGATGCTACTGGATCGCTAACAACAACAACAACAACAAATGGTAATGGTATGGATGACAATTTGATGGGAACAAAACAAAACTAGATTTCTTTTCATCATCATTTTTGCAAACTTTGACGATTGCAAAGGGCACCATGGACAAATGTGTCACAACGCTGTGGAATGAGGCGCTCGTCAAATTTTGGGCATGTGAAGCTATTGGTAGCATTGAAAAGCTCATACATGTTTGCCTTGCTTTTGATGAAAAAAAAGACCATTTATCTTGAATAGAAGTGGAGATATCGGCGATTGAAGGAGGTGGGTGTTGCTTGGTTTTAGAGGTAAAATTAGCAAAAAAATGGCCGCCAAACCTCTATAATTTGAGAGTTTTTGAAAACCAAAAGTGTACCTATTTTGTGCCATTAGTCAACGTATTTCAGTAAAATTCACATGGAAATGTGTTTTTAGTTTGACATAAAAGGTGTTGAGCCCAAAAAATATTTTTTTTAAAATCTTCAAACTGGAGAAAAATTGCCTTCTTAATATTCGATTTTATTCGATTTGACGAGCGCCGGATTTTACCACGATGCTTCACAAATCATAACTTCCTTTACCATGCTTCAGTCATTTCTGTCTGGCCTGGGTTTTTTTTCCAACACCAAATGACCATTAACATTAACAAACCAGAGAACGTTTCATTTCCCATAACAACAAAACATTGTTTGCTTATTTGTCTATAATTTCTACTCCTTTTACGCTTACTCCTTCAAAGAACCCCCTCCCCCCTTTTTTCCCCCTACTTATCCCTCCCCCCCCCCCTTTTTCCTTTTTATCCCCCCCCCCCCCCCTTCCATATTATTCTTTTTGCTTCTTCATTACACTGTACAAATACAATATGTGAGATGTGCTGACAAAATGAGTTGCTTCTCACAATCCACAAGATATGGAGATCTTTATCTTTATCTTTATCTTTTATTGTCCAGATCCTGGCACATTGGTTTGGTGTTCCACCACGAGTACACACACACACACACACACCACACACGCGCATACACACACACACACACACACACACACACACACACACACACACACACACACACACACACACACAGATATTGGTACAAAGTTGACACTAGGGTCTCATTTGTAGATTTTCTACAGATGCCATTATATTTTTCATAAAGTAGGGGCCTATAACATGCCTTTTATTATTTCCTACTTAAAAATTGTAAAAACTTCACCAATAAGCGTGATGTATCATTTCTATAGGGATTAAATTGTACAAATTATGAGGCAGAGGCCATCGCCGTTGAAACAGCAATCCTCCACCTGACCAGCATTTTCATTATATCAAACAAAAATCACTAAAGACAGTGAAAATAAAATAGAAGCAACAGAAAGGTGGTTTCTTAGGAGACTGCTAAGGGTCTGAACAAATGGGTGACAGGGAAAGATCAGGGAAACGTAGCTTTTTTAAAGAGCATCCGAGCAAAGGAATGGATGGAGAACCATGATCGCCGATGTCTGTCGCAGATCTGGCACTGGATGATGATCCAGACAAAATCAAGGACACTTGTCTTCACAGACGGAAAACCAGTACTCCAAGCTTTGGAAAACATGAATTTCGAAAGCCCAGCCTGCCTATCTGTGGCTCTTACAATCAACACCTTCATACAGACCTATGCCGTTGACCTGACTTTATAGTGGATACCTGGCCACAGCAACATCCCAGGAAACGACAGAGCAGACACCCTTGCCAAGAAGGGAGCATCACAAACACAACCTCACAACCCTGTATCACAACAGACAGTCAAGAACATCATCAAATGCAACACCAGGGAACAGTGACTAAATGGATGGGCAATGGGCAAAACTGGAAGAACTGTCTTTGCACACATGACCACTCCAAACGCAAAATATGCTCTGAATTCCCTGAGTAGAAGAGAACAAGTCACTATCTTTCGCCTGTTAACACAACACATCCCACTGAAGTCCTACCTCAATAGGATCCGCAAGGACACCCCACCCGACGGCCCGCTGTGTGACTGCCAGGATGATTCAGTATCATCACACCATCTCTTTTCCTGCCCTGCACTTTGTGACCTGCGTAGCACCTACCTGCCTCCCCAAACATCGGAAATACTCTATACAACGACAAAACAAAGCTGATAAAAATCTGTAAATTCTTAACCATATCGGCAGGTCGAAGGGCTAGAACCCAGATGGCCGCTGGGTCGAAAAAGTAAAGTAAAGTATAGGGCTCAAATTCGAGAAGTAACTCATTTTGTTAGCACGCTATGTTTTTCTCCGGCTGTCTTCCTTTCGTCCTCCCATTTCCTCTTATCGGACTTATTATCCTCTCTACATTGTTTTTCTTATCCTCTTCAAAAGTTCTTTTCTTTCAACTTCGTCTCATCCTATAAGCCTATTCCATTTCTTTTTTTCTTTTTCTTTTAAAACTGTTTCTTCCTTTCACCTTCCCGATCTCCTCCGCAGTATCCCCCTCTCTGTAAGTAAAGAAAGTCTGGTCCTTCCATCCCCCTCTCCAAATTGTCATCTTTTCTGTCCATTAAAAAATATTTCTCTTCCTTCCATCGTCCTACTCTTCATTAATTTTACTTTTTAAATTTATTTATTTATTTATTATTTATTAATTATTTTATTTGTTTGTTCGTTTATTAGTTTATTAATTAAAATAATTAATTAATTATTTTTTTTTCATTTATTCATGTATTCATTTTCATTTCATCCAGCCACTCCGCCTCATCATCATTTCTTCTTTTGCTCTGAACATTGTATTCCCTACAACTAAACAAGTCCAGCGTTCTTTGCCATAGAGAAGAAGACAGAGGTGGGGTCTGCCAACAACTCCGCCGGGGGTCCGGACTCAGCAATCTGACCCATATCCAGTACAAGCACTCTGTGGATGGGACAGGCACTGGGGATTAGTAACTCAGTTCGGGAATGTACCAGTACTGCTTGTACATATGTACACACACACACACACACACACACACACACACACACACACACACACACACACAAACACATACGTACACAAGCACACGTAT